ATTTCGCTGTCCCATGAAGATGTTTAGAATAACCGCAGAGGTGAAGGCAATCACCACAATCTCCTTCCACCAGAACCACAGCGAGAGGATCACAACCTTCACAGGAGCATCGATATCGTCCAGGCTAAAGCCAACATCATCATTGATGCTGTGATTGCTGCCCGAAGACGAAGGTGGCGCCTCAATGGCGGGCAGTCCAGTGGGTGTCTCGTTCGTGCCACACTCCGCCGGTTGCTCCAGCTCGTTGGATCCAGTGAAGAAGTAATATCCATTGCCATTCACAAACTCCGAGGCATTCAGCACAGACTGGGCGGCCACAGCAAAATTCTGATCATCATATGGCACCAGCTCGTTTCCTTGCGTTGGCGGCTCCTCCCCAATCACTTCGGGATTTATCTGATCCGCCTGGAAGATCACCAGGGAATGGCTACTGGCTGCTATCGGCTTCCAGGGTATCTTTGGCATGAGACTGGTATCGCCTGTCAGCTGCTGGTATACCTGCGTCTGGTCCATTATCTCCTGTCGCAGTCGGATCGACTCCTGGATGTACAGCTGCTTGTCATACATTCCGAGATAGATGGAGGGCGCGCTGGATGGTCTGTTGTTGGGTATCTCGTCCTGATCCTGGTCCCACAGCCACTGGGCCGAGCTGAACAAATCAATGGCCTTCAGTTCATCGTCGGCATTGGTGTTCCAGGCACTCACAATGGGATGATCGAACTGGAAAGGCACGATCATAAGATTGGCTTATAAATGGGCTTGCTCAGACTGTGATCCGACACTCACCTTATACTTCCAGAGCATGTCATGGGGATTGCTCTTGCTGAAGGCGCAGATGATGCCCTCTGGCACCACTACTTTGATGTCCACATCCAGAACGGCCAGTTCCAGCTCGTCGCGTGGCTTGATATGGCACTCTGAGGCCCGCACCATGTCCAGCTCGTGCTGTCCGACACTAAAATTCCAGCGTTCCATGCCAGTGCGGGATTCCACGGCTCTCACAGTCTGCGTTTGCCGGCGCACCACAATGACATCGTCCAGAAGCGGATCATGGGCCACAATATAGCCAGCCTCATCTCTAATGTGGTCATCATCATCATCAGCCGCGTCGGCAGGCAACGGCTCTTCCTTGAGGTCCTCGATGGTGTCGTTAATGGCGCGACCCTCGGCCGTGACATTTACACAGCCATTGATGGAGCATTCGTAGAGCAGTTGACCGGTACGGGCAGAGACGCCATATGTGCGGGTCTCCTTGCCGCCCGATATGACCAGATCATCGCTAAACTTGGCACTGGAACTAAGCAAATGTTCCGCTGTAATGGGTATGGGATCTATGGAGTCGCCATCGAATTTGTATATCCCACCACTGAGCGAGGGAATCATGCGAACGAATTGCCCATTGTTAGTGAGCTCCAGGCGGTGGATGCTCGAGGAGATCAGTGGTCCAGGTCCAGTGAGCACACTCCAGCGCAGCTTCCCCGACTTGGCTATATCCAAGGCGCTCAAACGCCCATCTAGTGTTGTTATGTAGAGTAGTCTGTGCAGGAGACAAGAAAACTGCGATTAGCTTTTGTTCAAGTAGGAAAAACAACAAGTCAAGTCCCTGACCTAATCAACAGATTCACTCTTATCGCCAATTGATTTATTTAATGTTAAATCAAATGATTGCATCATTTAAAGAAAGTACACCGCATGGATATCCGTTATTATCCGTTCGAAATGGTCACACTGTCAGCTGGTATGCGGGAGAGGGGGAGCACAGCTGATGCGGTGCCAAAAAAAACCAACAAGTGGTTTGGCCCCTATTTCTCTGCGCGCCATCTCGCTCGCACACACGGAAGAGACGAAAATGGCGCCCTCCAAATGTAGCGCAAAGCAAACGCAAGAATGGTGAAATTCGAAATGTTTTAAACAAACTCGCACTCGCAGAAAGCACAACAAAAATAAACGAAACGAAACCCGTTTCATATTGTGTGCATAACTAGCATATCGTACATCTCAGCCGTATCTTTTGACTAGCACAAACAAAAACGCTAGACTAAAAACAGTTGACTTTTTTCTATTGCACATGACTCACCGCATGCTTGATAAGGTGCGTTCCCTGATTACTACTGTTTTAGCGTAATTAGAGGGTCAACAGATATTTTCATAGGGATGAGCGGTTGGCCTTGAGCCAATTGGATATTCTAACGAAATAAACTCGACCAAAACACTAAATTTTCTCTGCCTCTCATTAGGGTTTCGTTTTAGGCGCAGTCAACACGAATTTTTCCAATAGTTTAGTCAAAAATAAACATAATTTTTTCAATATTTGCCTAGCTGCTTTTGCTTTTTTTCACTTGCACTGCACTCTGGGTGGTGACTGCGGTGTAGAGCGAACATTCGAGAACATTTTCTTTAGAATGCGTATGGAAAAGGTCACACACACAACACTTGGCCCCTGCTTCTTCTTACCGCCGTCCGATCCGGCGGTCGTCTCGCTCCACACAGTGCGTAAGGGCCGGTGGGGGATGGGAGCCCGCCTGCTGGAGTTCCGAATCTGTTCCCGCTCCTGCTGCCGCTGACGAAGGTACCAATGCCGCCACAATCGATGTGATCATGGTCAGCTGGAGGATCAGGTTGCGTCGACGTTGCGTGAAGACACCATTCAGTCCATCCTGTATGCCCATTATACGTACATATACGTAAGTTCTGATGATTTGTGTTAGTGTTCTTGGGTGTTTATGGAATGTATAAATTAGGTATTAATTGGCTTGTGCAACGGTGACGTGTTGACGCGAATTTGGTCGTTGGTGGTGTAACAGCAGCAGCAGGAGCACCCATCAAAGTCGGCTCACATTTCCTCATAACTTCCCGGCGCGCACAACAAAATTAAATGTTTATTTTTACATATAATTGTATTATAAAATAAAACATTTGATTTTAAATAATTTTTTTGTTTTCGTTCCTACCCGCAACACGCTGCTGTGCAGTGTGACCCGATTTTTACTGTCTGAAAATACCATTTTTGACGCAAATGAAGTCTAGATTTCGTCATTGCTGAAAAATACTAAGAAAATACCACGGAAGACTGAATGAGAACCTGGAGCACCGGGTCCAAATTAGAATGTGAAGATTGAACCCCCTTAAAATTAAGGCATTCCGAATCCCCCAACACCATTAGCTTTTAGGCGTAAGTATCGTAATAAGTGCTTATTTAAGCTTCATTATGTCACCTAAGACGCCACAAGAGATGCAGTTTAGCTAAAAATGCGGTTCTCCTTTTCGGAACAATTCTAAGAATCCATTCACAAAAACGGAGCAACACGACGAATTACTAGTGTGGTTGATCCAATCTAACCAGAAAACGGTTCATTGATTTTTTGGGGTTTTAAAGCCAAGTCCAGTAATATTCCTCCTGACCGAACAATTTCATAGTTCCGCAGTAATCTAAAATATCCATCCATGGGAGCATACCGAAGCTATCGATGTAGTTGATCCCAAGTTTGAGTTGTAATTAAATTTAAATTGTTTCATTTATTATAAAACGGATTTTTTTTACTCTGCAGGTCAATTAATTAAGTTGTTTTTAACTTAAATCCTTGATGGGTAAAGCATCTGCAATGGAAACAACACTCGTTAATGATGGGGAAAGAAAGATTTCGTTTGTGGGTAAACTTACAATGCGAATGCGGTGTCCCATGGCATGACCGGGCAGATTCCTGTTGAAACGGGCACGGACAGCGCCAGTGTTGCCATGAATGCGGATAACCTTGCCCCAGACGGCGCGGACGCGGGTCTTGCGCTCAGGATGCTGTGGCACGCACTTCTTGGTCTCTGCCTTATAGACGTAGACGCAACGCTTGCCAACATAGAAATCGCCATGCTCCTTGCGGCGGGCGCCCTCAATCTGAAATGAAGAGATTACACTTTACATTGGAATCTTCTTGAACCGAAATGTGATGGACCTACCTTGAGGATAGCCTGGTTCTCGTGCTGGTTCCTCAGACCGCGCTTGTAGCCGGTGAAGACAGCCTTGGCAAACAGACGACCGTGACGCTTGTACTTCTTGGCGGACACCTTAGCCTCCGTGGTGGCGGCCTTCTCGGCCTTTGGTGCCTTGGCGGCCTTAGGAGCCTTCTGGGCCTTGGCGGCCTTGGGCGCAGCAGCAGACTTGGCTTGTGTGTCGGCCATGGCTTAACTGTAGGAGCAGACAATTCCATGATTAAAACATGCACAAAACTGTGTAACATTCACAACTAGTATTGTTGGCCTATACTGTGGCTGTGGCACTGGGCATTTGTTTTGGTTATTTCATCCACAGACATCGCACAGCTAATCACATATTAGGCGCACAATAACTGTCTGCCAACATAGCACACATATCCACACAGTCTTTCGAGGCACTATTTCTCAAATTTACATGCATTTTCATGTATATATTTGCATTATTTTGTGGGCTACGAAAAAATCGCGTACGTACCGGAAATATGTCAAATGGCGGAAAGAGGGAGAAGTGTGACCGACGGTGTCAACATGGAATTATCGATCAAATATACCAACAGACCCGCGGAAATATACCAAAATATACCGTATTATTTTTAAAATATACCGTAAATATACCGAGAATTGCATCTTCCCCAATGCAGCAGGGCAGTTCTTCAGTGCTGCTTTCATGTCATCGAATTGCTCAACGAATCGATAAGAAAATTAATTAACTTAATTAATATAATCATGAAATGGAACAGACCTTGTAGTTAAATTTTCTGCAATTTTTTCAAGTATGCACATATCGAAGACAAATAATTAAAACGGCAGATTAATGACTTTGAAGGAAACCCTTAAGCATGGGGGGTTTTAATAAAATTAATATAAATAATGTTATGAGACGATTTCAATTTTTAATTGTTCTGCCATCACGCAAGCCAACTGCAAAATATTAAAATTCCATGGCACCCGGAAAATAGTCTATCGATATCGAAAAAGTATAATCGAGTGTATTTTTTTCTCTACCGAAAACAAATCAAAATTTTCATAACAATGTCGAAATCTGGATAAATTTTAGAATTTAGAATATAAAATTTAAAGCACATGTACACCCAAAAAGCCAAAGGACAACGAGCATAAAGCGCCCGCATAGTCGGCCAAATCATTGCATAAAGCAGTTTTGTTTGCTCTTGGTCCCCTCCTCCTTCGGGGCTGCTGCACTCTTTCCGCTGTGATCTGTGAATTTTGAATGAATTGAGATGGGTCTGCTAATGCAAGTGTTCCAATGGGAGAGACGGTGGCATCTACTCCAGAGATGCGATATACTGCTGAAGCGCGGCATCAAGAAGAATGCGGCATATCCAACCAAGTGAGTCCTTGCTTCGTGGGGGAGGCAGGCAGCAGGCTAGCCTTCTGTGGTTTGTTTCTCCCACCAAAAAATCATTATTGCATAATCCAAATTGTTTTGCAGGCTTGCGGAAGTGGGACGGCTGGTGGAGGCCAAGGACGATAAATACGAGACCGGACAGGTCTTTCTGCATCGCATCTTTGGCTACCGTGGCGTGATACTCTTTCCATGGACAGCCCGCGTCTACGACCGTGATCTGCACAATCCCAGCAAGATCAATGCATCGACAACAGCGACAGCCACGGCGTCGGCCACTCCGCCCCAAGAACAACGAACCAAAGATTCTTCGCTCAGAGCTAAGCCAACATCTGCAACGTCGTCGCCATCGCTTCAGCCAGTCGATGTTGCCTGGACGGGGCCACAGACCGCTGGCAGCCGTACCGAAAGTACCACCAGCTTGGGTACCGCCAAGACAACGACCCACACTCAGGTGGACACCAAAGAGGTGCGGGGCAAAGTGCAAACCTTCTATCAGGTGCTTATCGACACAAGGGATTGCCCGCACATCGTAAGACCATTAATTAAGCCTCGAAACTACTAGAATTTAATATGACTTGTCTTTGCAGCGTGCGCAAACGGAAGCTGTAACCTTTCTGGGGAATCAGGACTCCAATCGCAGCCTGTATGCCATACCCGGCTTGGACTATGTGGCGCACGAGGACATCATGCCCTATAGCTCCACCGAAAAGCAGCCCCTGCAGCATGAATTATTCGACAAGTTCCTGGTGCCTGCCCCGGAATCGGATCCACCGTTTGCGGGACAGGAAACGCTGAAGGCCTGGCAGGAGAAGAACCATCCCTGGCTGGACATGAGCGATGTGCACAAGGAGACGACGGAGAATGTACGAATCACCGTGATTCCATTCTATATGGGCTGCAGGGAGACGCCAGCCAGCTCCGTCTATTGGGTAACGTCAATTCAGTAGGTTGAAGTCCAATCTTTAATCCTTATCCCTCTCTTAAGTGGCGCTACTGCATCCGTCTGGAGAACTTGGGCGAGCTGAGCGTGCAGTTGCGCGAACGTCATTGGCGCATATTCTCCCTGTCGGGCACTCTGGAGACGGTGCGTGGCCGCGGCGTGGTGGGGCAGGAGCCCATACTCAGCCCGCGTCTGCCTGCTTTCCAGTACAGCAGTCATGTCAGCCTGCAGGCGCCCAGTGGGCATATGTGGGGCACCTTTCGGCTGGAGCGTGAGGACGGTTACTCCTTTGACTGCAAGATTCCGCCATTCTCGCTGGAAAGCAAGCCGGATGACATCAGTCCACCTGCCTCAAGTACGCCCACCGGCACGGGACATCCGGAGGAGTACGACAAGAAGCGCGACGATACCCACTAATTAACGGGGCGTGGTAGCGCCCACAAATGTTGTTGAGCCGTAGTTAAATGATTTTAAAGACACAATCTTATTTTGACGCCCATTCAGAAAGTACATGTGGATAGTGCAAATTACATTAATCAACAAAGAGGCAATAATGCAGAACATCAGCCCAAGTCTCCTCTTAGCCTAAACGCACATTTTTCGTCTCCACCTGTAGGCCAAAGTCAAAGGGCCTGCGATTGTCGTGGATATCGAAGAGACTTTGCAGCGCATCCAGTGCCGCCGTCTCTGTAGCTGTTGGCACATCCTCGCCGAAGCCCTTGCCCAGCAGCTGGCGATTCGCGTAGATGCCCACCTGATAGGCAGCCAAAACTGTGTTCTTGCCACAGTCCCCCAGCAGACGGGGCTCCACTTCTCCCAGTTTACGCTGCTGGCAGATCTCGTCTAGCAATTGCAGTGGCTGCTTGGGTGTCCACAGATCCAGCAAGTCTTTCTGATTCAGTTGCGTGCAGATAAAGTCTCTGACGAACAGGAAGGCTCGCTCCACGCCACTGGAATCTGCCAGAGCTCCAATCACCGCCTGAAGGGATTCGGCCAGGCTCTCGGGGGAAGGCGGGTATTCTGTAGTGAAGATGAGATCTTTGGTTCCCAGATGCGACGACACATGGGCCAAAGTCTCTGTGCTCAGCAAATAGCTGGCAATGGCATCCTGTCCCTCCTTTGGAACCTTTGGCAGTGACTGTTTCAGAAAGGCCTCCACATAGGCCCTGGCAATGTGGGCACCCTTCTTGGCCAGCTGCTGATTATCGGCTATTTTTAGGTCCACTTCTTCAATGCCAAGTTTTCGCTGCTTCTCCTCCTCCTGGTGCGCATACGACCGTTGTGTGAATGCCTCCTGCAGCAGCGGCAACTCAAAGTTCTCTCCCAGTCGCTTGCCAAAGGCAAACAGCTCCGAACGGTAGTTCCACTCCACAAAGCCGGCGCGTGGCTCCGGCTTCTGGGGTCCCTGTTTCTGTTGGCGATGGGCGAGCTCACGTAACGTCGGCGCAACCCAGCGCTTAATGTGACGGCGTGCTTCCACTGCCAAAATAAACATGATTACTGTATAAGATCGCTCCTATCGAATAGACATACCTGTGCGCACACTATTAAGTGGCCTGGCAAGCACCAGTACACCGGCTACACATCGAAAAAATGACATTTTTAAGGAAAAATAAACAATTAATTAACTGCAGTGTGACCGCCAGCAATGTGACCGCGGAATTATCGATAGAACATACCGGCCCACCCTTAAAATATACCGAAATAAACCTTTTCATTTTCATAATATACCGTATATCCTATAACATTTTCCTCGATTTTCTTTTCCACCCTGGTGACCGATGAAATATACCGTCCGACCCTTAGAAGTATACTTTCCAACAGCACTTTCCAACACTTATGTAAAAGACGCCATGTCCATATGCCTGTGTGTGTGTTTGTTTGTGTATGCGGCATGAAAAATTCTGGTCTGGTCTGAAAATTTGCAAATTCAACCATAAATAAGAAGAAACCAAGACTGCTGATTTTCCAAGTAAACTCAAGATGGCTCTGCAGACATACGGTGATAAGCCGGTGGCCTTCCAACTGGAGGAGGGAGGCGAATACTACTATGTGGGCTCCGAGGTGGGCAACTACATGCGACACTTCCGCGGCATTCTCTACAAGAAGTATCCGGGTATGACGCGCATTGTCCTGTCCAATGAGGAGCGCAAGCGACTGGCCGACTCTGGCCTTAGCTCACACATATTGGCCAGCTCCGTCTCGTTGCTGCGAGCGGTCGAAGTGGATGACATTATGGCTGGCAACGACGAGAAGTAAGTTGGCGGAGCCCACCCAGACATAATCTGAGACTACTTTAATGCTTGCTCGTTCCAGATATCGTGCCGTCTCGGTAAACACCTCCGACACGCCAGTGCCGCGTGAGAGCAAGTCCAAAAAGCAGCCGCAGTATGTTCCCACGATGCCCAACTCGAGTCACTTAGATGCCGTGCCGCAGGCCACGCCCATCAACCGGAATCGAGTGCACACCAAGAAGGTGCGCACCTTCCCCATGTGCTTTGACGACACGGACCCGACGGCGAGCCTGGAGAATGCGGCACAGAAGGAATGCCTGGTCCCCATACGATTGGACATGGAGCTGGAGGGACAGAAGCTGCGCGACACCTTCACCTGGAACAAAAACGAGAGCATGATCACGCCCGAGCAGTTTGCCGAAGTACTCTGTGATGATCTGGACCTTAATCCCCTGCCCTTTGTGCCGGCCATCGCTCAGGCCATCCGGCAGCAGATCGAGGCCTTCCCCAACGATCCGCCCATCCTGGAGGAGAGCTGCGACCAGCGTGTCATAGTCAAGCTCAACATACACGTGGGCAACACCTCGCTCGTCGACCAGGTCGAGTGGGACATGTCCGAGAAGAACAACAATCCGGAGGAATTTGCCATCAAGCTCTGCGCCGAACTGGGATTGGGTGGAGAGTTCGTGACGGCCATAGCATATAGTATACGTGGCCAGCTATCGTGGCACTGTCGCACATACGCCTTCAGCGAGGCACCCCTGTCCACCATCGATGTGCCGTTCCGGAATCCCAGCGATGCGGATGCGTGGGCCCCATTCCTAGAGACGCTAACCGATGCCGAGATGGAGAAGAAGATACGAGATCAGGACAGAAATACACGTCGTATGCGACGACTGGCCAACACCACAACCGGTTGGTGATTGATTATCCACGAGCAAATCCTAAACTTAATATTATAATTATCTCCGGCAATCCCCGAACTCAAATACACGTGTGTCTGTCGATTTTAAAATCTACTCGGTAGTCTGTTAATTTAGTATTACTGTGGTTGTTCTGGACTTATTCGGCATCCTTAGACTAGCACATAATTAAGTTAATTCAACTCTCCGCTGAATCAGGCTTGTCCTGATCCTGATCTCCATCGTAGAACTCATTCTTTGCCTCCACACTTTTGTCATCATCGGTTTGAGATATCCGTACGTCGGGATCCGTTTCCTCCTTGTTGCGCAGCTCCTCGATATCCATATCGGGCGGCGTCTGCACCATCTGTACGCTAGGCGAGTGCTGGCACATTTTCAGGTTCTCATAGACATGCTTCACAATCATCTCCAAATACTGTTTCGAATTTGCATTGTCCTGCCGCGAATTAATCTCTGGATGAAGGGTGAAGTCTGGCCCGAAAAACTCGTAGTACTCCGTGACGGGCAGGTCGTTGTCAATGTCCTGGTCCACCAGCAACGAGGTCTCGTGTGTCCAGCATCGTGCCACGTTGCGTAGCGTATAGCCACCGCCACCCACCACCAAGGTCGGCACATTCAGTTCCTTCACAAACTTCACGCACTCGCCATGGCCGCGCGTGCTCAGCGAGAAGCAGCCCAGCCGATCACCAGCCAGTGAGTCTGCGCCGCACTGCAGCACGATTGCCGTGGGCCGATAGAAGTCCATGATGGCTGAGATGATCGGCTTGAAGACCTGGAAGTAGCTCTGATCATCAATGCCCTCCTTGAGCGGCACGTTCACGCTGTAGTATCGACCAGACTCCGCTCCCAGCTCATACATGTCGCCCGTGCCGGGAAAGAAGTAGTTCCCATACTTGTGAAACGACGCCGTCATCACCCGATCCGTAAGATAAAATGCCTCCTGCACCCCATCGCCATGGTGCACGTCGATGTCTATGTACAACACACGCGGATGGTACTTCAGCAGCTCCAGAATGCCAATCACAATGTCGTTTACATAGCAGAAACCGGATGCCTCGAACTTCTTGGCATGGTGTAGGCCGCCCGACCAGTTGATGCAGATGTCGCTATGATTGTGATTCAGCTTCTGGGCACCCTCCAGCGATGCGCCCGTGTACATGGCGCAAAAGTCAAAGAGGCCATCGAACACGGGGCAGTCCTCGCCCACACTAAAATGCGCCAGGTACTTGGTATACGCGACAGCTAAAAGAGAGCATAGAGCATTAATATTTGTCAGCTATTAGCCGAATTGTAAGCTTACAATTGCACTGAATGTTTTGCGGCGTGACTTGCTGCAGATAGGCTATGTACTCGTCGCTGTGAAACCGGAGCATGTCCTGGGCGCTGGCTCTGCAATTGGTGAGGGAAAGGATTAGTCTTCTCCACTTATCGCTGATAGTTTGTTTTACTCACTTGTACGGCCTGTAGATCTTCATTTTCTTGTCAAGACCATAGTTCATGACCAGACTATGGGTCACAGCCAGACGCTGTGGCTTCATCGGATGTCCCGCGCCATAATGAAAGTTACCTACATCGGCGTTGTAGAAGTAGGATACCCTTCGATCTGTCATCACTTGGGTTCTGGGGACGCTGCTGCTAATGCTGCTTTGCGGGGTGTACTAACTACTAATCGTAATCCAGGTCGACGCCGGGCAGCAGGTACGTTTTTGCATATAAAATTAAAACCAAAACAGCCACGATTAACAAGAGTCGTCGCGTGGTGTCGTATTCGCCCAACAGCATGCCGCCGTCACTTAACTACTAAAAAGATTCGATCTTAAACTGAAATAACTAATTAACGCGGCAAAAAACACGCTAGTAAATGACTTGTTAAAATGAAAACAACTTTGTGTTTAGTGTGACCGCGGATAAATATACCTTCTCATTTTAAAAATATACCGTAATATTAAATAATATTCCTAGATTTTGATGTTCTATTTAATATTACTAGCTAGTTAGGAGTCTCGGCACTAAAACTATAGTTTTATCCGATTTGTCAATCAATTCTCCACAATATTGGTTAGTTTTCACGACTAATATGTATTGGGTTGATTGCAAAGTTAGCTTCAACTTGAAAAGCAAATACCTTTGGATGAGCGCTTAGTCGATGTTTTGGTTTTCTTGTTGGCTCCGTCTTTCTCCGAATGGCCAATGTTTGGCTGTGCACGCTTCCCGGCGAATGGCAACATTTGTCAATAAGAAGAAGCACACGTCTGCCGCGCTTTCTTGGCCCCCAACCCAAACAAAATTTGTTCGTGCGGAGAGATAAAGCTTCCTAATACATGGGGGTGTATGTGTGGTGTGTGGAAGTGGAATGCAGTAATCAACAATAAATGTCAGTGGGAGCAAAGGAGTGCAAAAAGTGTGTCAATTTCGCTGTAGAACACTTCCTTGGGGCCGTGGACATAGCAACCGTTGCCTCTTGCTGCCTTTTGCTGCTTCTTTGCCGAAGGAAATTACGAAACCGCACATTGATTTTCACTGTGAAATGGCATAGAGGGCATAGCTACGGTAAAACATAAAATGTTGACCCTGTATTACGTGAGTGCCACCGTCCTGCAATCCTGGCGCATCCAGAAGGTCTGCAACAAAATCGCCGAGCACCTGGCACAGCCCTCGAGTATTGCTTTCTATGCCCTGCCAGCGGGCAGTGATGATGGCTTTGGTGAGAATCGAATGACGATGATTTTTATTAGCTAATTCCCAATCCTGCTCCCTGTGCAGATCCCTCGTTTGCCAGCTCCGAGCTGTGCGGCAATCGTAATGCGGCCAAGGTCACGGACATTTTATGGTTGCATGGAAACCAGCACGGCTGCTGCCTGCGCCCTCTGCAGACGCTTCAGATCGCGCCGTGGATAAGCTTTCCGGCGGCTCCGGCCCTGCTGCCATTTGCCTACGCAGCCGACATCTTGACGCCGGTGACCACGCCAACTGAGTCGTCGCAGCCGCCTCCCAAGCGAGTGACGCTCTCAACGGACAAGGAACAGCATATGCAGCTGCTCTTGGAGACGCAGGTGGAGCCGGGCCAAAAGGAGAGCACCCTGGACACCATAGCTGTGCGGGTACGTCAATAGGGTATTCTCTGTTACGGTTTTGCAAGCCATAAACTAAACAGTTTAATGGCCACGACCCTTCTGGTCGTGTTGGGTGGTGGCAGTGCGTGCGGTAATGTGATTAGGATGTACATGCATAACCCATGCCTGAACTAGTTAAATCGATACAAAGAGCTGGCGTCATACAAAAGTATTCTCAGTTATGTTTCATCTCTCATTCTTTTGCTTGCATGACCTGCGACCTGTGACCCGTTCCATGGCATTGGCGCTCATCAGCTGGAAGATTATGGTAAGCTAATTGCTTGGAAAATAGACTCCCACCTGGCGGTGCTCGTCGAGACCGATGTGGAGCACTTTACCCAACTGTTGATAGCGACTTTTTTACGAAATAATTTATGCATAAACGATGACCTGCCCCTGATGAGGATTGAGTGTAAGCGGAAAACTGAAATCATCATCATTTATACTCCCAAATGCCCCATCTAACTCTCGTCTAATGAATGGTTCTCTCAATGCTTGCAGCTGTTTTGCGCTCCGGCGACCCACAGCCATTTGAGCTGCTGGCCAAGCATCTGAAGCGGCAGTCTCGCACCACCGCTGACCTGGAAAAGGAAGGCTGGAAGAAGCACTTGGAGGATTTGCGTGCTGTCAGTGTGCTGGCCCATCAGGCTACTGAGTTTGAGCACCAAAAGAATCGCACCGAGGGTAAAACGGGCCTCATAAAGCCAGATCTCCTTGCCCAGACACCAGAGCCGCCCGTCGTGCCCAAGGCCGTCGCTGTGGTAGAACCCACGCCCAATAAAACAGCGGCCTTGTCCCCGCCCAGGGGAGCTTCGAGTCCCGCCAAGAGTGAGGCATCATTTGCCAAGAACGAGGCCGCCAAGATCAGTCCAATTAAAAACGATTCAAAACTATCTTCGGCTAAAAGCGAAGCCCAGTCAACTCCCGCTAAAAGCGCGGATAAGTCCCCGCCAGGCAAAAGCGAAGCCAAAGCAACTCCAACCAAATGTGAAGCCTCGCAAGCAGCCAATCCCCAAAGCGAGCTGGAGAAGCTGGCTGCTGCCCAGGCAGCACAGATTCAGAAAACATCCGTGGATGGGACTCCGACTAAAGCGGTTTCGATTACACCCAGAAAACTCGTTGAGGCTGTGAAGCCAGCTGCCATTACTGTGGAGGCCACTCTGCCATCCATTACTGTGGAGGCCGTGAAGCCTGCGAAGACCTTTGAGGTGGTGCAACCTATTTCACCGCCAGCTAACACTGCAGCTGCACGTCCCGTGTTACGGCGCAATAAGGATAGCCTGCAGGAGAGCAAGCCTCTGAATGTGTTGGTCTATTCGGACAGTGCCAGTGCCAGGGACTCTACGCTGGCCACGCTGCAGCAGCTGCTCGAACGGAATGTTTACACCATTTATCCGCTGATGCCGCAGCAGGCAGCCCAAAAGCATTGGACGGAGCAGACAGCGCTGCTGGTGGTGTGCGGCTCGGTTTCGCCCGGGATTGGACAAATACTTGTGGACTACTTTCTGCATGGCGGCAAGGTGCTGAGCCTCTGCTCGGATATACTACACTTTATTCTGCCCAACTATCGCACAGCAGAGGTGACATTTTGGAGTACTCTTGAGTGGATTGTATTGTAATTACTTTTGTTTCTGTTCTGGCAGGTTCGTGAGCACGAATTGGTACAGTTCTCCTATGACAAGTGGCAGCGGGTTAAGATGATGCACCACATCTTCTGCTATCAGCCATCGCCAGTGAAGAAGCACTTTTCCACAGACAGCGAAGAGTCGGCAAAGTCGCATTCCCGTAGACCGTAAGTAGTGCTGTTGCTTTGAAATACACTGAAAAGAAAGCTAATCCCCATGCAGACTGAAGACCTCTTAACTTGTAGCCTATAATGACAAAAGTACCACTAATATCCATAACCTAAGAGCATATATAAAATATACTCTACTATATTGCATGTTTTATACACCCAAAAATCTAAAGCAAATTGCTTATCTACTGCATAACAGCAGGCGCACTATTAAAAGGGGAAATCCTCCAATGCTGCTACAGTTTACTATGTTGGAAAATGCACAATTTTTTGTACAATTTTTTCAGATTTTGTAAAGGTAATTTTGGTTTTGAATTGACTTTTGACTACAGCTCTTTGTAGATACTTTTTTAATTGTTTACGGACTTAACGTATTTTTACTATTGGTCAAGGTCAAACTTGTGTTTTGAGTTCAGCTTTATGTGCAATAAAATTCCATTATGGAAACAGGCAGTCAAGTTCCTTAATACAGATTTTTGAATACATTTTATGTGGGTTTTAGATGCCAACTAAAAACATTTAATCAATGAAATTTAAATGCAACTTTAAAAAAGCTGTAAAAAGACTGCAGAGCTAACTGCAAAAATAAACATGAAAATACATTTTTAAAACTAAAACAGTATTAAATTGTACAAATATTTGTTTAAATGCCAAAAGTTGAAACAACGAATTTTCCCTTATAGTAGTGCTGTGTAGGCCAACGCAAATGATAACCATTGGAATCTTCCATAAGTTATATTTTGCGCAGAATCCCTAGGAGAATTTATATTGAAATAACCCTGCTAAAACTAAACAATTTCTAACTAATTCCAATTCTTATATATTGTTTCTCAAATGTTTTCATGGCTCAAATTGGCTTCAAATCTCTATGTATTTGGCTTATTTTCTGATCATCATTTCATAATCGTATTTTCCTGTTGGAATTCCTCCTATTTCAACGAATTTCTTCTAATAATATTTTATTTTAACTTAACTTTCCTCCAAAATCTATGAATGAATTAACATACATAAATGTCGTTTTTAAATTGGATTCTTTTATTTGTTACTGCTTGAAATTTCCCTTTCCTTTCTAATTCTTTCTGCGTGCCTGTGTGATCGATCTCTTCTCTCTTCCTGTCCTTGCCCATTCTCCATCTCTGTGTGTGCTTCCTATATCTGTGTGCTATCACTATTATAATCCTACCTACCATTAACCAAAATAAAATACAACAAACAAAAAAACATAAACCGAAAACCATAAAACAAAAAAACAAACGAAACGCTGCTCAGAGCTCTAGTATGTCCAAGGTCCATGGAACTGAAAGATCTGGCCGGCCACAGCCACAAATTGGATGTCCAAGTGCTGGGCACTGAGGAGACCTGGAACACGCCCAGTCTATTGCTGGCCAATAGCCTGAAGAGCGGTGGCAAGGCCGTCTTCTCGCAGGTACAATTATACTCCCATCTTTCTCTCGATTTTTACTTACTTGAGATCAAATGATTTCCTCTACCAACAGATTCATTTGGAGACAAATCCTAGCGAGTTTGAAGCGGATGAGGCCAAATATTCCATCTTAAAGCAGTACGAACGCACTCGTCTAGAGATCTTTGCGGATCTCTTGAGCAAATACTTGGATGTACAGGTCGCGAAGGCAGATGAAGGCGTAGGAGTAGGACAGTCCCAGCCAGGAGTGGTATACAAGCACGCCTATTTCCTGGGACGCCATGAGGTACGAAAGTTGTACGGTGTTTCACTTTGATTACTCCTAAAATAATGTTTCTTTCTTTTAGTCCAAATTTGAACTCCTCGACAAGTTACGCCTGCGCTGCAGTGGCCCCGATAATGTCATAGCCACACCCAATTTGACTATGAAATTCTGTGGCAAGGATGATAAGCCACCCACGGCCAACAATAATGTCTTGCCCATACTTATACATTCCTGTCCAGATGATTTCTCCACCGTAGATTACTTTGATGTGCGTCAAATGGTTGAATTTTATTTATTAGAACAATTATTAATCTTATAATTATTTCCTATAGCATCTACACACGGAGGACATTGGTCGTCTGGTCATCTATGCGCCTGTCGTCAGCAGTTCCATGCATGTGATCAATAATCTGGAGCTCATCAACGGGTTGGCCGTGTTGCCGCTTCAACAGACTGCAGGCGTTGGTCGCAGCAATAATCAGGTGCGAATAGTTTAGCTTTATAAATAGTTGCACTATGACTGATTGTTAATGTTTTATTTTTCAGTGGCTTAGTCCTTTGGGTTGTGCCATGTTTTCACTGCAACTTCACATAGCCATGGATTCACCATTGGGCTCTCGTTTGCCTCTGATCCAGCACCTAATTGGTACTGCCATTGTCAATACCCTAAGGAGTCATCCAATATACGGGGTGAGTGATACATAAATATATTTAATAGTACCTATGGGCAAGTTTTTATACCCGGTACTCAAAGAGTAAATAGGGTATATTGTATTTGTGCGAATAACGGTTGTATGTAACGCACAGAAGGTTTTCTGCGTTTCCGACCCCATAAAGTATATATATTCTTGATCAGCATCAATAGCCGAGTCGATAGAGCCATGTCTGTCTGTCCGTCTTGTTTGTCGGCTAGTTCTCAGAGACTATAAGAGCTAGAGCCACCAAATTTTGGCTCCGGTCTGCTGTATGCTCACACTGAAACCAGTGTATTTCAAAAATGATCTCATAAACGCCCCCTTCTGCCCTGCAAAAGGGCGAACACCTCCCAAATCTACAGTTTTGAAGATAAAAGAAAACTAAAAACTCGATTCCGTAGGAAATGGCCATATCTTTCAGATCACCAAATTGGGATCCGATCGGAGCATTATTATAGCCACAGTGGATAAATTAATTTCCAGTGGCTAAACCCACCCTGTCCCGCAGCTTTTGTTGCTCTTTTTACATTCTCTCATTCACACTCTGCTTCTGCTTCACTCGGCCCCTGCCTCTGCCCTCCCCCTGGCGTTGACTCTTCCGACTTTTAACCAAGACTCGGTTTTTAACGCTAGATGGTGCCACTTTCGAAAAATTTGCTGTGAAACCTATCGGTCCAAGAATGTATCAATTTTATTGCTGTTTTAAATATCTCATAAATTGGAAAATATTAACTGATCCAATTTGTTTGATCCATTTTAGTTAGTAGGCTTTTACTACGTGTTCTGTAATGTAAACGATATCTAGTGGTTGGCGATGTCTTCTACATCTAGATGTAGTCCTGAGTGCCGGGTATACAAGTTGTGAAGCGTAAGAAGCGTCTCACACGTCCCTTCTCGTTTTTGTGTGCGGACGGTGCCTCTGCCTCTGCTTCGAGTCTGTAGTGTGTGGGTCTAGGGAAGGGCAGCGAGCTAACGGAGCGTGTTGGTGTGAGAAGTGTTGTAGATGTAGATGACAGATGAAGAAAAAATGTAAAATATGACAAATAACCGCTAAGGTGCAGATGTAGTCCTGAGTGCCGGGTATAAAAGTTGTGACGCGTAAAAAGCGTCTCACACGTTTTTTGTGTGCGGGCGCTGCCTCTGCCTCTGCCGCGAGTCTGCAGTGTGTGGGTGTAGGGAAGGGCGGCGAGCTAAAGGAGCGTGTTGTAGATGTAGATGACAGTTGAAGAAAAAATGTAAAATTGGACAAAACACCGCTAAGGTGCAGATGTAGTACTGACGCGTAAGAAGCGTCTCACACGTCCCTTCTCGATTGTATTGCTTTTCTATTCGTTGTCCCAGGTTTGAGTCTTTTGTATTGGATTCTTGGTCTGGCCTTGTATTTTAGCTTCTGCGTTCTCCTCTTCTCTTTTTTCCACTTTTCCCTTGTCCATCCTCGGGTTGCCGGAGAATTTATCTCGAACGATGGACGTTCATCACATGCCAAATGAAGCCCTAAATTCTGTCCTTCATTTCATAATATTCCTAGAATTTCTCTCGACAAGATGTCCCTGCTACCATTTTTATAGACTGTTAAATATTATAGGCCAAATTAGGAAAGAGCAGCTTGGGTGCTGAGAGATAATGAGGCTCAAAATGGCTTTGCAGGCTGCCCCAATTATCTATAAATTCTGAATTAAATAGCTAATATCCCGCTGCGTGACCCAATATCTCATTTTTCCACTTTAGACTTCAGAAGATACACAAACAATTTGATTATAATTTGGTTGTAGTGATAAGTTTATTTGACATTTATGCTTAATTTTGCATTTAAACTCCCTTTTTGCTATTTACATAACATTTCTGCACAATATTTGATTTACATACTAGTATCTCTCATATACATATACCATTACAGATATATTCATAGATACAGATAGAATATAGCTTTGCTTACACATAATTAACAATTTAGAAATTGCTCACCTGATTTCAACATTTTACATTTAGATATTTTTTGCCACACAGTAGTGCTCTCCTCGTTCGATTTACATACTTTAGATCCTACTATATATATATTTATATATTCTCATTCTATACATGTATTCCAATTTAAACATTTTGAACGTGGTTTGTCTTTTTCAAAGTTAACATTTGTGTGATTTTTCCTGCTTTTCTTCTCTTCTCTCTGTTCTGCATTCAATATTTTGTATATAATTTCTTAAATTTTAAAATCGTTTTTGCTATAATTTTTGTTTGTTGAAATTTAAATGTTTTTGAGTTTGAGGAATTATTTACACATTTTTGCATATATTTTTGAACTTGTTTAGGAGTGGAGGAGTCCTTGTATAGAGGAGGATACATTCACTTAAGGGAGTGGGCGAGACAGACATTTGATTGGTTTTAGACAGCAGCAGCAGCAGCTTACATTGAACATTGTACTAGATACTCATAGTAGTTGCAATTTGTAATAGTTAATAGTTAATAGAACCCAAGCAGCTGTTGTTGGTGCACCTCAGAAGACAGACTCCGCGGAGCGTGAAAGATTGACGGGATGCGAGGGACTCCTTGCCAGTCGCTTCTTCGGCAATTGCTCCAGCTTGTACAGGAGTTGGGCAAACCGGGGCCGTTGCTCCTTCTCGTAGGCCCAGCACAGCATTAGGAGATCCTTGACCTCACGGCCAGACTGGAGATTGGCCAGCGACTGCTTCATGCCGCGTCCCACCTGCCAGATAATCGATTCGGCCGGCTGGTCCTTGAACGTAAACTCCCCGCAAATCAGCTCATACCAGACGGTGCCGAACGAGTACACATCCGAGTAGTAGGTGAACTGCAGGCACTCGCCCTTGGGCTTCTCGGGCATGAGGGCACGTATCAGCTCCGGGGCCAAGTAGCACAACCAGTTGTGGGGTACTCCTAAGCCTATATCACAGTACAGCAGTTTGGTGGAGCTGAACAGGCCAAAGTCCGTGATAATCACCTTGCCGTTCTCAATGAATATGTTCTTGGTGCGCAGATCCTTGTGTATGATGTCCCGTGCGTGCAAATAGCCCATGCCCTGAGCGATTTGCTGAGCAATCACCAGCGTCCGATTCATGGCGAACTTCTCACGCCGCTGATGGATGTACGTGAAGAGGGTGTTGCCCTTGCACAGCGATGTGACAATGGCCAGGTACGGCGGATTCATGCAGGCACCCATGAAGAGCACCAGATTCTCGTGTCGCGTCTTCTTGAAGTTGGCCACCTCGTTGCGAAACGTCTCCAGCATATGCTCGTCCTGCAGGTAGTCCTCGTTGAGCAGCTTCACCGCCACATCGCCGTGCCACAGTGCTCGATGCACGGTGCCAAAGCGCCCCTGTCCAATACGCTCCAACAGCCGTAGATCGCCATAGGGTATGTCCCACTCCTTGAGTGAAATGGAGTTCTGTCGCCACTGGCCCGAGTCTCCATCCTCCGTGGAGTCCAGGCGCACAGGTGTCCGATCCGAGTCTGTGCTGGCACTGCCCGTCAGCGACACGGTCTTATCGCTGTCGTTCGACTTGTGGGTGTCCGTGTACTCGCTGGTGAAGGGCGTTCGCTTGTCCACGCCCGCAGTGCTCAGTTTGCGTGGAAAGAAGCTGCTCGTAGTGCTTGTGGTCGTGGAGTTTACGAGGCTGCTTGTGGCATTTGAGGCATTCGACACGTTCGACACTTGGCTGTTGATGAGCGAGCTGATGTGACCATTGGAGCTGTTCACCAGGCTGTCAATTAGTCCTCCTCCGTTCATGCTGTTTGGCAGTGAAGGGGGAGCCGCCTGGTACTCCGACAGATTCTCGTTAGAGATGAGAGTTTGCACATTGTGCGAGGCACTGCCGCCGTTTCCGCCGCTGCCAGCACCGCTGCTGCTGGTAATGGTCACATTGGGGAAGTTGAATTGACTCTGCTGCTGATGGTGCTTGGTAAGGGAGGGCGTAAGCAGGAGATTGGCACTGGAACTGCTGCCGCCGCCGGCCGAAGAGCCGCCATAGCTGCCAGCCTGGTCCGGATGCTCGCGTTCCCGTTCGCGCTGATTGAACAGAGCCGGACTGCTGGGCGTGGAGTTGGTGCAGCTGGAGCTGGGCGAACTGCTGTCGCCATGATGCTGCTGCATTGGCTTGTGCAGGGTGCTCTTCTTTACCAGGGGCGATCCCTTGCTCGAGCCATGCATATGCGGCAGGGTGGAGTAGCCGCCCTGCTGCTCCTTGATGTGACGAAACTCTTCCACATATTCGGGTGGCAGGCCGCACGAGGGTGGCACATGGGGGGCACAGCTTTTGTGGCAAATGAACTTGCAGTAGGTGCACTTGAGACACCTGGAGAAGACCTGTTTTTGGCACAGTGTGCAGGTGGCCATGAACCCAAGCACTTTCGTAAACCGATGCTTGATGGTGTGCCCCATCCCGACGGGGCCCACGCTGGGGGAGCTGGGCACCAGCAGGACATTCGATGAATTCCCAATGGAAGCCAATGGATTGCTATTGCTGCTCTCGCCAAATATTTCCGAACTGGCCGAACTGTGGCTATCCGGACTGGGATCTGTGGGCAGGCGATTGCGCGGTGGTGCTGGCGGCTCGCCATCCCCCACCGTCTGATTGAACAGCGTCGTCTTGTGCTTCCTGGCTGGCGGTGGGGTGCCACTGCCGCGACTCCTTTGTGGTGTGCCATTCAGACTGCTGCTCACTGCCGTCCCACTGGAGGGTGTGAACGGGGAGTTGGGTGGCGACGGCGTCAGAGTTAGAGTCATTTGGGAACCCTGCGTGCTGCCAGTCATATCCTCCGTTGCCGTCGCTGCCATCGATGTGGGCGATTGGCGGCCACTGCGCGAGGTGGAGGAGGCGTTGCCGCCACCCTTCCCCTTAGAGCCATGCTGTCGGTGATGGGCCCGCGGGGAGGCGGTGTTCAGGCCCAGGCCCAAGCCAATATTCCCCACACTACCTCTATGGATGTGTATGGGTCGGTCCCAGGAGTCCCAGTGCCATTGCTCCGGGTCGTTGTTGCTGGCCGTATTGGCCTCCAGCGTGTCCATGCACTTGCGGAGATTCTGCATGGCCCTGGTCAGGCGACGCAGCTCCTCCTCCCGCTGGTTTGGATTCTCGGCCAGCATATGCTTGAGCTCCTCATCGGTGAGCTGCAGCGTCTGCTCCAGGGTCGTCAGCCTGGTCAGACACACACTCAGCGACTCCTGGCTAAGGCCAACCACGCGCAGCCATTGCTTCAGCTCGTTGCCCGTGGCATGGGGCAGGAGCCCGTTGGCCGGGATGCGTTCGTTCAGCCGTATCTTGGTCAGCAGCAGCTCGGAGAAGTAGCGCACCAGCTTGGACTCCAGGCAGCGTATCTCCTGTTGCGTCAGCATCGAACTGGTGGCGCACTGGGTGCGCAGACCCTCCAAATGGTTGGCCGAGAGATCAATCATGTCCTGAATAATGATTAGGTTGCTGTCGCTGGACCCGGATTCGTTGGCATTGGCATTCGAGCTGGAGTCAGTGGCATTGTTGTTGCTGACTCCCGACGTCGTCAGCTGGGCGGCGCTGCTCATTTTGTTGTTGTCGTACGGCCGCCCTGCAACAAAACTCGCCGATTGATTTTTTCAGACGCGCACTCACTGAGATTGGATGATGGCACGATTTTCTGAGGCTTTCCTCCACATTCTGTAGCGTTTTTGTCAACCTTCTGGTTCGTTGTCGTTTTTAAGGCGCTCACACACACACGCCCGCAGCTCTAGACACCATTGCCAATGCGAAAAATGCGATAATTTTTATAGTTTCTGCTGTTGTTGCTGCGCTCACGAAATTTCTCTACACCACAGTGTGACTGCGGATTTGTCGAGAAAATATACGTCCGAACACAAGAAATATACTGAAATATACCACTCGTCAATTTTGATATTCATCATGATAGTGTCAAACACGAGCATAAAATACCCCATAATATACCCAAATCCACCTTCTGGTAACTATATACTTGCTACATATTGTGTAAAAAATTAAATCTGCAAATTATATTTATCAGGCATGTATTTTTTATTTCTTATTTTTAATTGTGTGTGTATTATTTTTAATTGTGTGTGTTTCAGGTTCTCGACATATCTCTTAAATGGCCAAATGATATTTATTCACATGGAAGCAATAAAATTGGTGGACTGGTCGTCAACACCACTTTGTTGGGCTCCCAGGCAATTGTTAATATCGGCAGCGGAATCAATTTAAACAATTCAAAGCCCACCCTCTGCATTAACGATATGATACGGGAGCATAATAACACTGCGGGGTCCCTGAATAAACTACCTTTGCTAAAATATGAGCAATTCATAGCCATGATATTTAATGAAATCGAAAGACTCTTAGCTGAAATACAGAATGGAGATTTTGAGAGTTTTTATGCCTTATACTACTCCATCTGGCTGCATAGGTAAGTTCATCATTTTTTATAGGCATTCTTACCTAAGAATAACTCTTCTTTGCAGCGGACAAACCGTCAAGATTTGCGTTCAGAACGAACAGGAAAAAGATGCCGAAATAATTGGAATCGACGACTTTGGCTTCTTGAAGGTGAAACTACCCACTGGTACCATCGAAACTGTACAACCCGATGGAAATAGCTTTGATATGTTGAAAGGATTGATAGTGCCTAAGTACCACTAGTTAAATGGAAGAACAATTGAATAACCCCCCCACATACCAAACATATACTCGAGCTATTAACAATTTGTATTTTTAGGCGCATTTAGGTCAATTTATTCAAATTTAGTACTACTATTTACAAAGTGTTTCTCCTAAAGTGACTTAACCGAATTTTTCCAAGCTAAAACTTTGATGATATATATTTAAAAAGCATATATGAATTGTTCCATTACTTTGAACACTGCCAAAGATACATAAATGTGTTGCTAGAAAGTTTCGTCTAATTGGTGTTGTTGTATTCAAAATATACACAGGTTTGCTATATATCCAAATGTTTTTGAATAATATCTATGCCTAATCCCATTCAAAACCATTGTTGGTTGTCATGGAATTTTGAAAATTGAATTTAATAAAACCTCATCGCAGTGGAAGGTTCCGCTGTGTGTTTCAATCCAAGCAGGGGAGTTTGTTAATTCGTTAATATAATTTCTACATATAATTTCATTCATTTGATTAATTAAAATCCAGTTAAAATTAACCGGGTTCATCGTAAGAAAGAGGGCTCGATAGAAATATCGAGACATGGATTTCAGTGGTGGACGCGCCTCGATAGAAATAAAAGATTTGTGTATCGACACTAGTGCTGAAAAACGTATTGAGGTAGACAAATTAAAATGGATATGATCGACCACTCTGCTATCCTTGCGAAAAATGTTATTATGAAATCAATGGAAATGCTTCGTTTGTATGCTAGTATGTAAAATTCAAATAAATATTTGTAAAATGTAAGGTAATAAGGTATACAATCCAATAAATCGGAGTATTTGGAATAATCCAAATTAATTTTTTTAAACGGATTAAGTTATTGTTTCGGTGTTAAAAGTCTTTGCAAGCTAGTAAAATCAAAAATAACAAACAAATCGAGGAATATGATTTAGAACTACAATATATTATCGGTATACTTTTAGAATGAGAAGGTATACTTTGGTATATTTTTAAAATGAATTTTATGTGGGTCTGGGTCATACTGGCCAGGGTGACCATTTAACATATATTATATGCTTTTCAGGATATTTTGACCACGAAATTTAGTTCATTGTTTATTTAAGATATATTGTTATATAATAGTATATTTAATGAATTTAATCGGCTTATTAAATTCCACTTGTTAGGTATATTCAATAATATAGGGTATCCAAACTCCCTTACGTATGTTTTTCAAATATCCCTTGAGGACGTTCTCTCTTCTCCGTAGGACATTTTCTCTTTTTTTTTAAGGGATATTTCTCTCTCGCAACATGGGAATTTTCATCGCAGCAATGAGTCTTTATACCATCCCCACTTACGTTGAATTCCATTCCCACTTACGTATTTTACCGTTGGCAACATAATTTGTACGGATCAGCAGCATGCTGCTAAAAGTTAGCAGCTAAGCAGCACTGTTCCCCAACATTTTTCATGGAATAAGCAACATTTAGTACCCTTGGAGGGAAGGAAGTCCACGAATTGAGAAATTTATGGAAAGCCTTGGCTATAATCACTAACCAAAAAATCACTAACCTATACTATTTGGTTAGTGCTATAATCAATGAAAAATCAAGTATATCTTTTAGAGATAATAACAAACTACAGGGTGGCCAGCAACAAATTGCTGAATAAACAAAACATTCAAAATAATAATATTTATATATATAATATAATATAATATTATATTTATATTTATATTTATATTGTTCGTTTTTCTTCTAACCCTTTCAATTATATCCTTATTTTTGTAAACAATCCAATAAAAGATGTCATAAACCTGTGGCGAATGTATTGTGCAATCTGAGAGTCTTAGTTGGATGGCAACATTAAACAGAATATTTAAATCGAGTAAATATGTCATAGACCGAGACCGATTAACCTTCTGTTGACCAATGGGTGTTTAAGTGCAAACTAAGAAATTGATGAAATTGAAAGATTTTTAACGCAGTTTATCTGAATAAAGCGGTGCCCATTCGAATTTATTCGTAAACAGGGGGGATGGGTGGCTACAAAAAACATTTACAAGCAGTTTTATTTCACCAATTTGGACAAAGTGTTTTCCTATTTAAAAGGCTTTCAGTGAGTTAAGTTTGAACAGTCACTCGAAAGCGTTTCAGCCATGCCTCAAATTCAAAATAGATTTCAATGGATTTTTGGATAACTGCTGCCCCCTGCTCCAATTAAGAAATACAAATTAATTCTTTATAGAAATCGGTGTGGAGGAGACCAGCAGGAGCGCCAGCTGGTGGCTGATTTCTCCGCCTTTTTTAAGTAAACAATTGTTCCTTTTGCAGATCGGCATCGAATGGAGGCTGTAATCATTTTGAAACCAGCGATCATCTGGCGCCGGGACAGGCAAAAGCTGGGAATGTGCATCACAAGTAATTAAATGACAACGCTTCGTCGACAACGTCGACATCATCATCAGATGGATTCAGTTACGGCCCGCTCGTTGCTGTCGTGGCCACTTAGGGTGGGATAGCGCAGATCATCCTCTTCGCTATCGTCCGCAGAGTCCAAATCCTCCTCATTAATGGTGGCTACCACTATTGGGTGCGACATTTTCTGGCTTTAAGTTGGTCTGCGACGAGTATTTTACGTTGCGCCACCACCCACCACGGGTTGTTGTTGTGGTCACCGGCAGGGACTTTAGTCCATGGTCTTCTGGACTGTGGATCCTCCGGCAACGCCTCCTCGCCGCTGTTGCGATGTAAATCTAACCACTCATCGGAGCTCAGAGGCAGCACCTGCATTGAGACCGGCAGAGGCGCTATCAATCCACATAAGAATGTTACTCTTCACCAGATTGGCCTGCGGACCTGCAAAAGACAGTTAAAGGGGAACAGTTTCAAAGTGACAGATTCAATGTGGAAATGACCTGCCATCCAACCTGTTGTCTCCGATTCATCTGGATATCACAAGCAGAATGGGCACCTCGATGAACTAATGACCCTCGGTCGAGCCTTGGCCAGGCCCTTAGCTCGCGCCAGCGCTTTTGCACCGTCCTCATGTCTGGTGAAATTTCTGGAAGTACATATGTACATATAAATAGCGTGTAATAAAATAGATATTCTTTCCTCTTTCTTTCTTGGCGATTTTTCGTTCCTCTTTTCTTTCATTCGTGTACAGTTTTACCGCTACAAAAAATATATCATGAACAAGTTGGCTTGTTCAGCAAATGGTAACAAAAAATGTTGTAGCATTTCCCAATAATACAATTTTCGAAATTACAGTAAATGCAGTTGATCCAATCGAAATTATTGGAGATATTGCGATGGGACCCATTGACATTAGAGAATTTCCAATAGTTGATCCACATTCCATAGTTGCTCCAATTGTTTCAATTGTATCAACTGCTATGGGACTAATATTGAAACAGATCCATTGCAAAATATAAATAGAGATTTTGAAAATTTATCTCAGAATATTGATTGAAATAATCTAAGCAATTGCTTACGATCCGAGATCAAGAGCGTTGCAAACAAATAATTGTTTTAGAGACAGAAATTCGGTCGGAAAGAAAAGATTCGAAACAGTCACAATCTCAATGAATTACTTTAAAAATTTGCAGAAGCACATACAAAACATATAAAAAGGTTAAAAGCAGTTGTGTAAATGGATTTACATATATTATTAAGTATAGCAAATATATTTTGTTGGTTGCCTTTTTAGTTTTAACCTTATTATGCAATCAATTGAGGAAAGATGTGTCATAAAATCAGCAAATCCTGCGGAGAAGGTCCTAACCAGCTGGTAATATTAAATTGATCATCAAAATCGAGGAAAATGATTTTAGATTCACGGTATATTTAGAAAATGAAAAAGTATTTTTTGGTATATTTTCGAAAACCTCACTGTATATTTTATCGATAATCCCGATAAGTCACTGGCCCTATCGAAAAAAAACAGGAAAAAAATTGGAAATTGGATCGAAAATAAAAAAAAACAGAAAATATGGCTCAACGAAATCACCCCCGAGTCGATCGATTTGCTCAAATGTCCAAGCAGGAGGAGATAATAGCCAAGAAGCGCCAGGAAATACTCGAGAAGCAACGAACAGCCCAATTGGCGAAGGCGGTGGCTGCAGCACAAAATTTGCAGGCGCAACTCAAGACCACAGAAGCACCTCCTCTGAAGACACCCCCCGTTGCAGACGAAGAAGAGGTGGAGGAAGAGCCCCCGCTACCGGTGGACATAACACTGTCCTCCAGCGCAGCTGCCCCAATAGAAGAGGGCAATGGCCTGGAGGCGGGGAGCAGCGAGACGGCAGCTGGAAAGGGAAAAGCTGATGACGCGACTACGACCAAGAGTACGCTTAACAGCTTCACGAGCAAGACTGGTAAAATCTCATTTGGCCTGAAGCGCCAGCAGCTGCCACAGCCCAGTGTGGAACAGCCGCCACCCAAAGTGCAGAACACGTTCTGCAATGACGGTTCGTTTTTGGAGAACTTTAAGAAAATTCTCGAGAAACATGAGAAACCCCCGGCACCCATTATGATAACCAATCCAGCGCTCAGGTGAGTAACGCAGCAAATGCACAGGAGTTTCCTTTATGTAAGAGTTACCCTTGCTTGCAGCAATGATGACAATAACTCGGGTGGCGAGGACAACACTCCACAGATGGACTCAATGCCCATTGCAATCAGCAGTTCCGCTGGGAGCATTGCTACCTCCATGCCCTGCAGCATCACTGTGACCAGCTCGGCAAGCAGTCACCTGGCGTTTAGCATGGCAGTTTCAGCACCGCCGCCACCACCATTCAATCCATTCAATCAGCCACTGATGCAACAGGGACCACCGCAAATGCAGACCATGCAAATGCCAACCTTCTTCCATGGGCATCTGCCCATGCAGCTGCATCCATCTGCCGTTGCACCACCGCCACCACCTCCACCTCCCCAGATGCCCATTGCTCTGGCCAATATGGGTCAAATTTACATGCAACTTGGACCAGGGCCAGTTGAGAGCATGCAACTGAATGCCATTCCGCCGCCGAAGGACTTTGACTTGAATGCGATACCAAAGCCTCAAGTGAATCTAGAAGCCATACAAATACCCACCATTGGTGGACAGGCGCCGGAGCAGCTTGGCCTTCTGCCGGAACATATAGTTGCTGCTGCGGCAGTTAATTCTCACCCACCGCCTCCTCCGCCACCATTGGAGCTGGACTTGGAATTGGAACAGCATCAGTTGCAGCATGGAGGACCAGTTGCACCGCCACCTCAGCCACCACAACAACTTCAGCAGCACCCACATCCAGTGGTTGTAGAGCCACCACCAAGGCCACTGCCGCAAGGTGTGTAGTGTTATTGTAGCAATTTTTGCTGTCTGTTCTGTTCTGCCACAGCCACAGCCACTCCTCCTTCCATACTCTACCCCAAACTCCCAAATCCCCATCCACATCCAGACATCCCTTTCATTTAATTTAT